GCTGGCGTCAGGCAGGGCACAGGCAGAGCCAGAGGAATGTCGTATCAGAGCAACAGCAGCAGGTCGCTGGATGACTGGCACTCTGCCCGGGAACAGACGGGCGCCCGTGTGCTTGGAAACACACACATTCACACTCACTCACACACACACACACACACACACACTCACTCACACACACACATAAAACCAGCTATGGTTAAATGTGTGTGTTTCTGAAGAAAAACACTGGACTTTCTTTATCATCTTTATTATTATAAAACGCTCTCTCTCTTTATATATATATATACATATATATATATATATATATAAAGAGCATTCATGATCACCCCCCAGCCCATGAAGGATGCATCTATCTTAAGTGTTAAGCAATGACAAGGAGCTCCCAACATAGGACCCTGAGACAAGAACCAAGGGTTCTTCCACATGAAGGCATCATGAGAAATGGGTTGCCCCTTGGGAAAAAACCCTTGGTCCTGAGCCACCACTGCAAAGCTCTCATGAACAGCAGGCCAGTGTCGGAGTGACCCTGTTAAATCAAGGCGGTCGAGAACCAGACTGGTTTCTGTAGCCTCTCTCTACACTGTTAAAAAAATTCCGTAAAATATACGGTAAAAACCAGGCAGCTGTGGTTGCCGGAATCTTACCGTAAAAAATATGGTAGCAACATTTTAGGTTTTGGTTTTAAATTAAATGAACTTACAGTTAAATACCATAATTCCATTAACTGATATAATGTTAATATACCAACCTATTGAAGTACTGAAATCTGTTTTGTACCTTTGTGATACACTGATAACCACCAAAAGCAGGTGGTGATGAGAAAGTCACATGATGAACCAAAGCCCATCACAAGCAGCTTTTAAATAATAACATATATAGAAGGTGCACCGTGTCATTCACACAAACACCAAACACCATCATGGTAACACACGTGAAACTGAAATAATGCAATACACATTCATTTAACAACATTAGGTGTAACACACAACCCTAATATACAAAACTGATAAGAAAAGCTAAGAAGAAACATAGTTATTTCAACAAAAAAACATCAAATATGAAATGTAACGCAGGGAATTCTGGGAATGTGAATTAATGGTTATTCACTGTAAATTATACGGTCTTTTTCACTTTCAAAAATGGTATACTACCGTAAAATTTATGTCCAATACATGTAATGTCCAATACAGTTTTTCACCATATATAGTAGGGGAATTTACCGTTAACCATTTAACAGGTTTTTACTGTAGCATTTTTACAGTCTTTTACCGTCAAATTCACGGTCATTTTTTACAGTGTACAGTCTGCAGGACCCACTGAGACACATTTGGCAGAAGTTTCCATGATGCCAGATGGTCTACTAAAGGAACCAGCCTCTCAAAACTGTATTCTATTGCACTTTCAGTAGTCAATTTGGTGCATAGATCGGTCGATGGCTTTGGCTCGAAGAGACAAATCTGTTGAAACGCGTCCGGGTCTGCCCCCTCGCCCTCATCAAGATCTCACAGCAGGTCAGCCTGGTATACCTGCAACAAAGCCATATTATGCAAACACCTTACCCGCCAAAGCCGAAGTTGATCTGCACAGTTTGGTGGGTAATGTCGGGGCCTTTAGGAATAACACGTGTCTGTTCCACCTTAGGCATCGCCCCATGGCCCTGCTTATTCAGCCCTCTAATGTTGGAATAATTCGTAACAGTGGGGCTGAAGAGCCAAGCTGAATATGGTTTATTCCACGATCTCGACACTAGCGTAGTTTGTTCCAGATGCACTTTTAAAGGAGCAGTTCACTTCCAGAATTTAAATTCTGTCATCATTTACTCACCCTACACTTGCTCCAAACCTGTACGAGTTTCTTTCTTCTGTTGAACACAAAAGAAGATATTTTCAAAAATGTTAGCATCCGAACAGACTTGTACTTGTGTAAAAAAAACTTGATGGTGCCCATCAACTGTTCAGACGTTCTGCCATTCCATTGGACTGATTTCACACATGCTTCAAGACGCAATCATGCAGAGGTGATCCCGCAGTGTTTCGACACAGCGTGAATTCCCTTCAGTTTGACACTGAACACATGTTAGAAGCGCAAGACATCCCTTCATCTACCACTAATTTTACTGTTCAACACTGGATGGACCTCAAAGACTCCCACAACTTCATCTTACAGTTCTGTAGTAATATATAAGCTTGATTGCTCTCATTGTATTTGGACTGTACACTGGCCTGCTGTTGCCTGATTTCTCCCAAGGTTTCTCTCTTTTTCATTTCTTGTCACAGTCACTTTGGCTTGGACGATATGAGCACAATCTTAAACCCTGCAGTGACACACACCACCAAACTGTACAGTAATTGGGATTGGCACTTCTAATCCAAACTGGTATAAACTTAACAAAACCTTACAGATTTCATACCTTTCAAACCTTACAGATTGCCATATGAGTGCATAATGAGTTAATAACTCCATCTTGCAACTAGTATTAATTATATCAACATACATACAGTACACTGCCATAATCACTCAATACACTGTGTACTACAGCAGATCTCAGCTGTTTGATTGTTTATAATCGTTTCATATGTATGCTTTGGTCCAGATCTAAATGGTTCAAAGTGAACTATTAGGCTTTAGTGTATTATAAACACCAACATTATGAATTTCTGATAAGCTTCACAGTTAATCAATGATGCAAACATCATCAAATAAATGACAGATCCTAATTCTGCTGTAAAACAGCTCTAACCACACAACAGAGTTATTATTCAGCTCCAGTCAGATCAACAACGTGTAAAGTTCATCCATTATGAACAAATCTGATTCACCTATAATAAAGCAGAAGACAATAGTGTCAATATTCAGCATAATTCAGTTCTTCTTCTCATCTGATAGTGTCAGTGCTGACAGACTGATACATTTACAGAGTATCTCTAGTGCCATTTAATATGCTATTATCTCACATATCTTGATCTCTTGCTTGGCCAAATTCCCCTACACTGTAGTAATCTGGTCTTCAAAGAGCTTCTGGATAGAAGGACTGTTTCTACTGCTCAAAAAGTGTTGTTCATTATGATTAACACCTAATTATGGTTACATCTGTTGGTGCTGGAATGCGAGATGAGCAGCCTCGTCATGATGTGGACATGTGAGAGAAAAAAACCTTGGGAGAAATCAGGATCAGAAAATTATTTTGTCTTCTAGGAAATATATTAATATTTTACATAGCTTCTGAAGGGCATTACTGAATTCAAAAAATATTATTATTAATTAAGTCCTATAATGCCACACGTAGCTGTCAGATTCGAAAAGTAGAAGCAAGAAAGTTGTTCCTTGTTAAATTGTAGTTGTATTGTTTAACAGTATTTTTTAAGTATGTTTAGTACACTGTTTTTAGAAGTACATCCACAGAAGCAAAACACAGTGTTATTTTAAAGTATTTAAAATGCAGTATAGCCAATTAAATGCCTATTCAGCAAAATTTCAACAATAACAAAAATAAAACTAAACTATTTATTAAACTGCAAAAATAGTAAAGGTATATGCAAAAAAATAAATTTATGAAAAATACTTGTCCTGAGAATGCAATTCAGATTTTTGGAAAATTTACTTCAGTTATTCATAACGGTTTTTGCTGTAACATTAAAAAAAAAATTTTTAAATATATTTTTATTCCAACTCCTTTTTTAAAGCTGCTCCATTACATTTAAGCAATATAATTCAAAACCATAAAGAACATGGATTATATATACTGTGTATATATAGAGAGATTTTTATTTTTTTTTCTAAAACAGCAAACAAGTTCCCTGACACACAAAATCAAGATCACCTACATTTTTTCTCATTTGAAAAGCCGTTTCACTGGGATCCAGGTCATAACAGAGAAGGTTGATGCTGTTCTTGAACATTTTGTCATTTTAATTGAATTCTTTTGAGTACATTAGTAAAATGAAAGTTAACTTAATTTTGTTTTGGGACTATTTGAATACTTTTGTTGGCATAACGATGGCTTTGTGCTTTGAACTGCATGAGGAGAGTAAATGTGTGTCCTGGAGTAAAGCGAAATAAAGTGTGCTGATGGAGATGTTAGTGTGGTGATCACGGAGCAGAGGAGCTTGTGCTCAGCTGTCAGCAGATCATATGGAGTGTGTGCTGCTTCACACAGGCTGTCAACTGTGTTAATGTCAGAGGCACTGACTCAAGGATATCCCACCCGAAATCAAAGAAGTTTAATGGTATTTGATTTCATGCCATTTCATATATTGTTTAATCATAGGACCACTTTAACAACTTTGCGGTTTATAGTGAAAAATAACCTACCTAACTATACAGGTGCATCTCAATAAATTAGAATGTCGTGGAAAAGTTTCCCAATTAAAAGAACCAAAGACTTAAACTACTTTTTTTTTTTTGAGACAGTTTAGGCTACAGTGTTCAATTGTAAACTATATAATACAGAGTTTATATTGCAAACAGTGCTAATCTAGCTGTAAAAGCTACATAGCTCCTGATATGAATGTTATAATATTCTGTAATATTTACAGTTTATTAGAAAGATTACTGATGATGATTACTGCCCTCACACGCCTGCTTTCTGACAGAGACACAGAGTATTATTAAGTTAAGTGTGACAAGAGTGCCACCTTGTGTGTGTGTGTGTGTGTGTGTGTGTACCTGGTATTTATCACGTTTTGGGGACCAAATGTCCCCACAAGGATAGTAATACTAGTACATTTGGACATTTTTGAGGTCCCCATGGGGAAACAAGCTTATAAATCATACAGAATTATTTTTTTTGAGAAAGTAAAAATGCAGAAAGTTTCCTGTAAGGGGTAGGTTTAGGGGTAGGGTTGGTGTAGGACAATAGCACATACAGTTTGTACAGTATAAAAACCATTACGCCAATGGAATGTCCCCATAAAACATGGAAACACAACATGAGTGTGTGTGAGTCTGTGTGTGAGAGTGAGTGTGTGTGCGTAGCTGACCAGACGTACGCGTGTGTGTGTGTGTGTGTGTGTGTGTGTTTCTCGTTTGTCGAAGCGTGTCGGGGAAGCGCTGCCTAGAGAAGTGTCGGGTCCTCCTGGATGGTTTATTTTGGGCGGTCTCTCTCTCTCTCTCTCTCTCTCTCTCTCTCTCTCAGCAACAGGGGCTTCTGTGTTAACTGAGGCTAAATAAACACAGATGAACTGTCGAGCACATTCACAAAAATGTCCTGGCAATATCTGCTTGACTGCACAAGACTCTCGGAACCCGCAGGAGCAGCGCGTCGCCTCACAAACTCTCTGACATGAAGCGGGCATGTTCCTCCTAGAAGACTCTCCTGCTGCATTTGATCTTCTTATTGGACCTTCAGGCAGAGCGGACTTCCGACATGAAGAACCCGCATCTAGACGGCCACTGCAAGACCCTGCACTCGGGAGACAAGAGACTAAAGCGCAAAGCGCGACAGCCACTCAAGCGCGTCAGTGACGACCATTTACCTTACTTTAACCTGTACAAGAACGCGCGTCTCATGGCACAGACAGACGGCGGTCCGACAGAGACGCGCGGCTCGGGGATCTTCGCGTCGGGGGACGAGAGCGTGTTAAACACCGCTCTGGATATGAGGATAAACACCGCGATTGCTGGAGAGGCTCCCGACTCCAAACTGAGAGCCGTCTCCGAGAAGTCTGTGAGTGGCAGAAGCGCTCAAACAGGCACGCGCGGCGCGCAGGGTTTTGCTCTGGAGCGAGCGTTGCCTCAGGCGCCTGGCGAGAGCGCGGAGTCACCGAGGAGACGCGCCGGAGAGCCGCCGGAGATCAGAGCCATGCAGCAGACGCGCAGGCTGCTGGCGAACGCGCGCGAGAGGACGCGTGTGCACACCATCAGCGCAGCCTTCGAGGCGCTGCGAAAGCAGGTAAACTCCGCGAGGCTCTGCTCTGCTGCTCACGGAGAATACACCTAGACTGCGATAAACCTTAGGATAGAAGCACAGGAGTGACCGTGAGCCGTAAACGCACGTTATTACACCAGAAGCGTTTCAACAAACGACAGATGCTGTCCTATTGTAAAAGCTCTTTCTCATTTGTGCAGCTTTGATGGAGATGTTACATACTTGTAACTTATTCCATCAGCACAACACAAAGTTAAAGTTTGAAATCATCAGTGAATATAACACATCCAGGCCACTCACTTATACATTTGGAAGATTACCAAGAGAAAAATAACTGTTTGAACATTAAGGTGTTGAATTATTGCAGGCAGCACACACCTGAAATAGCACTTTATATAACAGAGACTGTTTCAAATAACCAGGAAAACATCCAGTGTTGCAACTCATTTTCAGAGAAAGTTACTAAAGGTAGGTTGATTTGTTGCTAAAAAGTTGTGATGTCATTGCGCGATGACGTCGTTACGTAATCACGACGCAAAATTGTGTCACTGCATCAAATCTCAGCAAAAAATATATATTTTATGTTAATTTAGATTTGTTCGTCAAATAATATAAATGCATAATATAATATTAAAATATAAACAACTGTATTTTTAAACACTACATTGAATTGAACACACATTTTTGAACAATTTAAGATTTGTTTATTAGCTAGTAAACTAGTAAAACGACACATTCTGAGCAATAGTTTTAAGCAGTGCAGTTAGTACATTAGTTAGTATGCTACACTCTAAAAATCTGTAAAAAAAAATAGGGCAATATTAATATGAAGGAATATTCCGTATTGATTTTTCACAGGTTTTGTACCTGCATTTTTTTAATTGTTGCATTGTATTTAGTGTTTTCGGGTTACAACGGATAATGAATAATGCATAATATCCAGGAAAATTACTAGTACCGTTTTCATTTTTCTAGATATTTTTCCTACAGTGTACTAAGTGATCAACAATCACAGTTACAAGCTAACAAGGTGTATCATTAATGAACATTTACAGGTGCATCTCAATAAATTAGAATGTCGTGGAAAATTTCATTTATTTCAGTAATTCAACTCAAATTGTGAAACTCGTGTATTAAATAAATTCAATGCACACAGACTGAAGTAGTTTAAGTCTTTGGCACACCAACACCATGGTCATTTAACCAACTTTTGGTGCTTTTGGCAGTGTGGGCAGGTGCCAATAGATCGAACAATTGCAAATTCACATGATGCCTGTACTCATCTTTGGTTTCCTCTTTTTGTGTAATTTAGATGAAAATGGGTGCCTTTTATATCGTTTGAGTCACTTATTAAAAGTTGCTAAAAGTTGCCAAATAAATGTTAGAAATAGCTACATTTGTTGCTAGATGCTTTTAGAAAAAAAAGTTGCTAGGGTAGTGTGAAAAGTTGCTAAATTTAGCAACAAAATTGCTAAGTTGGCAACACTGAAAACATCAGAATTAGTCATGCAACTCAATCAAACATGTGACAAATCCCAGTTCTGCTGCAAAGCAACTCTAACAAGACCATCCCAGTCACTTCAGTGTTGGCTGAGATCAGTAAGAGTGTGAAGTTCATCAGTTTGACACAAGTTCGGTTCAGTTTGAGTCAGTTCAGTTCAATAACAGTGATTTAGCTGTAAAGTTCAGTTCAGGTTGTGTTCTCATCAGATGGTGTTGGTCTGTGTGGAGTTAACGGTCCGTGAGGATGACTTCTGATCAATCAATAATACGTTTTCATCGTTTGTTTAGCCTGCATTTGTTAGTTCACGGCCTGCATTTCCTCACATCTGCTTTCACAGGTGCCCTGCTACTCGTACGGCCAGAAGCTCTCCAAGCTGGCTATATTAAGAATCGCTTGCAACTACATACTGTCTCTGGCTCAGCTGGCAGACCTGGACTACTCTCCGGACCAGAGCAAGCTGAGCTTCAGGGAGTGTGTGGAGCAGTGCACCCGGACGCTGCAGGCCGAGGGACGCTCCAAGAAGAGGAAGGTACGAGTCCAGCATCTGCTTCTGGATTCACTCTTCAACTGATAGAATCCTTATTACATGACTTTTGGGAAAGAAAACCACGTGTGCATTTCACGTTGCTCTCGTGTGAACCATGACACTGACCCACAAACCGTGAATAATTATAGACCGCCGACTAGAAGATTAAGACTCAACTGCATTCCGTTACACTTTATTTTGATAGTCCACATTAGACTTCTGTTTACTAGAAGTGACTTTATAACTACATGTTAACTAGCAGTCATTATTAGTACACTGTAAAACCTGGTAAGTTAAGAATACTCAAAACATTTGTGGAAACTTATTGTCTTAAATTATTTGAGTAAACAAACTAAATTTTTTTAAGTTAGTAGAGCTTAACATTTTTATGACAAGTGGGGCGGGGCTGAGAGCCATGAGAGCCAAGCCAAGCCTCCCTTCCATGATCCCACCCCACTCATCGAACCGACAATTATATATAACTTGCTTCCATTAACAGCACATTCATTCAGATCTTTATAGTTACGTGCTAGATAGCAACAGCATGTACTAATGTAGTTATCTTACAGACTCACAATTCTTGCAAATAGCCAAACAACATACAATATAAAAATACTTGAATTTTTGCTGTCCATTCTCAACCTAACCACAGGCTCTACTCTTCACCACAACGGTAACACTACAAAACCAACATAACTAAAACCTATGTAAATCCTAACATAACACAACATTTAAGTACTAATTTATGTCTCTCTATGTTAATCTTGTGTAAAAACACACAAAATAACACTTAATTTCTACATTTATTTTCCTTGTTGTCTGATGCAAAGCATGCAGGGAACTAGAAAACGCAATAATTTTAAGTTCACCTTACTACAACAACATTTGAAATTTTACAGAACTTATTTCAATTATGTCCAATTAACTTTCATTATTATTTGAGTGAAGTTAACTCATTTCATTTAATTAATTTCACTGTTCGGTTTTACAGTGTAGCTTAATATCTGCTAACACTTTATTTTAAAACTCCCCAACACACATTCAACTGACTACTGCATGTCAACTATCATTAATTTGCAACTACATGTCAGCTAACTCTCATTAGAGTATTAGTAGACTGTTAGGTTAGGGTTAGTAGAATAAGTTAACTGTTTCTTGCAGAGTGATTTATAGTCAGAGCTGGTTAGATTACTTAACTGATTACAGATTACATGATGAAAACTGTTGTTAGTAACGTAATCTAGGTTACTCATTTTAGGTAATGTAATCTGACTACTTTTTAGATTACTTTTAGATAACTTTTTTAGATTACTTGTTACATTTACTTACATTAAATGTACTGTGTATCGATATAAAACAGCGAAGATAAAGAAAATATATTCCACTTTTTGATATCAACATCATAAAATGCATTAGACATTACATTAGTGAGTTGATAAAAACCTAATCATAAAAACGTAAAATAAAAGCAGTTTAAACACTTGAAGACTAAAAATAGAAGTATATTAGTTGTTCACCTGCACGACAATGTGACCATTAACTGACATCAGAGAACAGTAAACATGCAAATGTGTTGTTAAATTATAGAAATATTAACTTCCGCAGCGATATTTCAAGCAAATATTTTGTTTTATGGGGTGACAAAAACGCTTGGGAATCCCTGCATTAATAAACATGAAAACAGCAAGGACACGCCCAATGTAATCTGACTACTTTTTAGATTACTTTTAGATAACTTTTTTAGATTACTTGTTACATTTACTTACATTAAATGTACTGTGTATCGATATAAAACAGCGAAGATAAAGAAAATATATTCCACTTTTTGATATCAACATCATAAAATGCATTAGACATTACATTAGTGAGTTGATAAAAACCTAATCATAAAAACGTAAAATAAAAGCACTTGAAGACTAAAAATAGAAGTATATTAGTTGTTCACCTGCACGACAATGTGACCATTAACCGACATCAGAGAACAGTAAACATGCAAATGTGTTGTTAAATTATAGAAATATTAACTTCCGCAGCGATATTTCAAGCAAATATTTTGTTTTATGGGGTGACAAAAACGCTTGGGAATCCCTGCATTAATAAACATGAAAACAGCAAGGACACGCCCAAATTAATCATGCAATCCATAAAAAAGTAACTGTAATCTGATTATAAGCATTTTAAAATGTAATATGCTACATACTACACTTTGAAATGTAATATAATTACAAGTACCTAATTTTTTTGGAATCTGTTACTATCAGTTACTACCCAGCACTGTTTACTTTACAGTCAGTAGAATGTCCATCAAAATAAAGTGTGAGCAGATATTAAGCAGACAGTCTACTAATACTCTAATGACTGCTAGTTGACATGGAGTTGCAAAGTTACTGATGTCTAAACTGGACTATAAGTGTGAAGTGCATTCTGAATTCTTGGACATGATTCTGCCATCTACTAGTTATTTTCTGCAAGCCATAAGAGTAATAATGGCAGAGCATGCATTATATGTGCCAATTAAGAGGGACTTCCCCCGTGCCTAATAACCATCCCATTAAATTAAATTATCATCAGCTTTTGTCAGAGGCAGGACTGGGTGTTCCGCCAGCTTTTTCCTCCACTGCGTCCCGGCCGAATAAATGGAGTGATTGATGTTTTTGGGGGAGTTTTTTGACAGTCGTGTAGTCCTGATTTCCTGCAGCGCTATCCTATATCATCATGCACATAGTGTATGTTTTCCTCAGATAGGAGAGTGTTCAGAACGTTTATAATGCGGTTATTAGTAGTAATTGAGCAGCTGTGGCAGAGCTGCACACATGAAGGCTCTGGAGACTGTGTGTGAAGGCAGGCAGCGCTGCATGTGAGCTCATGCGCTCCCCCCGTCCGATCAGAGCCAGACACCAGATGTTCGCAGCGCTGCTTGGGAAGTCCTGCTGGCGCCACTCAGGGCAGAGGGCAGGGGGAAGGCACGCGAGCCGAGCCCAGAGAACGCATTCGCTGCAGGAACTGGCACATTCCCCAGCGCGCTCTTGGCCCGCTCCCCAGTTCTCCCTTGGCCATCTGTTCCAAAAAAACACTTTGAAATAAAAACGCAGCGCTCATCACTCTCTTACGGAGCAGCTGTTACAGAGGCGAGGGGAAACGAGAGGAGGAGGGGGGCGCCGGCCAAGAAAGAAATCCTTTTGTCAAGTAGAGCCAGTGAGTCTGAGGGGAAAAATGTTTTGGCACAGCAGAGGCTCGAAAAGCACTGAGCGAACATGGAAATGTGCATGAATGTTGCAACTCGGGAACCTTTTTTCAACAAGTCCATTTCAAAGCAAACAGACTGCTATATCTAGTCAGTTTTGTTGTTTGGATTTTTGACTGCTAACATTGATTTTGTTGTTGCTCTTCACAACAGGAATAAAATGAAGAAAGTGTATGTGGAGAAAGAAGGACCTCAATCCTCCATCAACATGAAGACACTCTCCCCATGCTGGAAATGTAACGAATTGTAATGTAATGAAAGTGTAAAGTGATTTTACACTGCACTATTGACTTTACTACAGCTAACCGAGTCAAAAACAAAACCACTCTAGGCTCTGGATATGCTTTTGTACAACTTTTGCACAGCAGAAACACTTTCCAAACTCAGATGATATGAAGTCAGTTCATTTTCCATTGTTACAGACTGGTTATTTATTTTTGTTTGTTTTGCAGTTTAACAAATCGTGCAGAGCTAGTTCATGTGCAAATTCTGTCAAAAATGTCCTGCCATGTGCAAGAAAGCGCACATTTTCTTTTCTTTTTGTAATCCATATAATTGTGCTATTCTTCCTTTTATCAATTACATTATAAACCATGATATAAATGCATATAATTCAGCACTCATCGCTTGTCTTCCATTTGGTTCATATTAACAATCTAGTTCTTAAACGGGAATCTGAAGTCTATGCTCTACAGTATGTGGCTCTGTCAGCCAGTCACTTATGTTAGTCTGTATTTTATACATGTATCTACTGTTGAAATACTGTTTTGTAGTTAAATGTAGTCCAAGAATTCATCTTCATGACTGAAGAACTGCTTTTCTGAGGAATTAATAGGCAGTTGCTGGTGACCTGCCAAAAACATCAAACTCCAGAAGGAAACATCTGGTCATTCTGACCTGTGTGGAACTCCTATAAACACATCATTAAATCAAACGAATCAATGATTTAATTATGTCACAGACTATTATCTGTTGTTCTACATACATACAGGCACATATACATATACAGTTCCGACAACCATGCGACGTGCCAGAAATGTATTAATCAAAGCAATAAGGATCCAGTCATCGCATCCAAGCACAGCTCTTTTGGCCAGGTAGTGTATATAATGCATCTGATTGTTTGTGAAATATTTTACACTTTCTGTTCCTCCACTGAGCAAATAATACATAAACAACTTAGACTGTCGATTGATTAGTGCTTAGCAAATGTTTATAAGCAGTGTTTAACTACTTACATTTAGTTAACCAGACACATTGTAAGGTTGCGGATGGCACAAGATCATCTTTTTGGACAGGTTTCATGACTGATGATTTCATAAGCTGAGAGCTGCTAAACAGATTGACTTTTCATTCCAAGACCATCATCTTTGGCGGTGTGTTGTGAGAGTTTTCCTCTCAGCTCCATCCGTCTAGATCGGCTTCACGTAGAGCTCACACATTTCTGTGTCACATCAGCAGCTCTGATAAAAATGAAGTAAAATGCATCGAGCTACTTCTGTTTGAATATTACCACGTGATATAAAAAGAATAAGTATATGGCAAAAATAAACTATTTATTTAATTATTCTCAAAGGTTAAGTCCTGATGAATGAGTAAGATGGCCAGTTCTTTAACGTTCACTTTTTTTTTTTTTACTTACTCCATACCACAGACTCTCTAAAAAGTAGTGAATGTTCATATCGGTCTCCAGCATTTGGTGAGATCTGCCTTGAGATCTGTTCATCCTCATTCTGCAGAACCTTGGTTTGAGTCCTTCCTGAAGGGCATAAAGCTTTAAGCTCATTTGGGAAGGAGAGGCGTCTAACCCCTGGGGTACCACAGGGTTCGATGCTTGACCCCCTCTCATTCTACATTCATAAGATTACAGAGTCCAGAGCAGTCTTATTCCAGGAGAAAGTCCAAGGAGAACAATTTTTAATGATTTGTTTTATCAGCTAAAGGAAAGGGAAGCATCTAAAACAGGAATATGCGACCATCCAAAAATGTGGCTCAGTTCCAGCAGAGGGCTATGTTAAGGTACAAATTAAACCGTTGGATGGGCAAAAATGCTGTGAACTGCAGAAAAAGGTGGTGCTCTAGAATATCAGGACAATCACACCCACCTGTCTCAATACTCTACACATTTCTTTTGCCATTTGAAGATAATTGCAATGCTTTACTAACTGATCTTCCAGCTATAGCACTATCTGACATCGCACGTCACTTTTTCTGGGTAAAAACGTTCTATCAGATGCCAAAAACAAACTGTGCTAATAGACTCACAGTGTGCTGTAAAAAAATAAAAAATAAAATAAAAAAAATAAATCACAATCCTAACCTTTTATTCTCCTTACCGAAATGTCAGACCTTTGATTTCTCTTCTCTGAATATTAAAAATATTGGAACTCAGGACACTGTGAGCCCTGAGGCTATAGTAAACAGAGTTTTTAAAATCTTTTAATAGCATAAATGTGTGCTATAAATACATAATGCTGTTGAACCCGTAAATGGAAATGGACCCAGAAACAGCATTCAATACATCACAACAACAGATCAAAATAGTGACATGCTTGATGACCCACATCAGACCTTCAGACCCACTACACAGCCTACAATAAAGATCAACACAACGCAAAATCACTTTTAAAAATTGTATGTACAGCATAAAAACGAAAGACACATTGATGAAGCAAGCAATGAAGCAAGAATGCCATAAATAAAGACATGCCATCACATGGTTGTCTGTAAAACTGCTTTGAAACTACACACACATATACGTGTGTGTGTGAAAATGGTTGTACTGCCGAATGAAGTGTGAAAATCTCAATACTGTCTTGCAGTTGTATCAATGAGTAGTATTTCTTCATCAGACAGCTAGCGTTAATCAGCCCATTAATTACAACAAACAAACACCAAACAATACCCAGACTTGCAGGAAGACTAAAAACTATTAATGCCCACTACTGCTGCAGTCTCTAGCTCGAGATCTTTCAGCTCACTGCAGTTCCTCAAAATAGTGGGAAGAGCCAGAAAGGAATTATTTGTATCCTGTGTACAAACACGTGTGTGTGTGTGTGTGTGTGTGTCCACATGACAAAAACACAAATGGAAATAAGAAATACATTTCTCACGTGTCAAATGTAGTCTGGGACAGTTTGCTGCAATTGTGTGACCTAAATTCAAGAATAAAGCAAAGCTGAATGTAGTTACAAGTGGTTTGCTATATTCAGTGTATTTTCTACAACGGCTCCATCTGTTGGAAGAGTACAGTTATTGCACAAATATAACAAAATATTACAGATGTACCATTAACAAAAAATATGCCTAATGAAAATGACAAATTATAAAAATTTGCATGTTCAGACAACCAGAATCTGCAAAGGTTATATTGCATATTAATATAAACATTCGTATAAAAAAAAAGTGCCAAACTGCTTTAAAGGGATCCTATTATGCTCTTTTACAAAGTCTTGATTTTGTTTTGGGGGTGTACTAGAACAGGCTCTCATACTAGATTGTTCGAAAAACACATTATTTTCACATATTTTACATTATTACAACACCTCTCTCCCCAGTCTGGCATGAACGGCTCGAATAGTTCCTGTATCAAATGAAGGCCCACCTTCTGAAACACGAAATGTGCTGTGATTGGTTAGCTGGGCCAGTGTGTGCCGTGATTGGCAGCACTCGGTGCCTGGTCGGGAAATGTCATGCCCCTTACCATAGCCGCCTGCGAGGTTCGGTGTAAATATTGCATCAAAATCAAATCAATTTGAGTGTGATTTAAACCCGGATGATTGTAACCACTCTAAGTTTGTCTGCCTTGAGAAAACTAGCATGTCTCCGACAGTGACACTCGTTGCTTTCTCTAGTGCAGCTCATCCAGGTCTCGTCCCATTCGTCGGTATCTGTGATATCACAAATCCCGGAAAATATGTGTTGTAGTCCAAACGAGCCGTTCGTTGTAGTTTTTGATAAGTGATTTCTGTTAAATAAAATATCTTCTTTTGAAGTGGACTTTGAGCTTTGTAACTCTGCAGCTCTTTTTTATGCTCAAACAGCAACATTACAGACTAACTAAAGTTGAAAAAGTGAAAAAGCATAATAGGACCCCTTAAAATAAAATACTTTACTTCGGCAAAACATCTTTTTAAAACAAAAGACACTAAAAATTAAAATTTTTAATCCAAAACCTTAATCTTTTTGTGATATTAGTTTTGATATAAAATAGAACATTCAGAGCATCAGTATCACAGCTGTAAACAGTAAAATACTCAGCAGTTCATTAGCAGTGTTTCAATGATTGTTTTTAAGTTAAGTTTTAAAATTAAGTTAAGTTTTACAAGCGAGTGTGAACTCTTCCTCACACGTGCCACTGAGAGAGTCTGGGCCTCAACAGAAGACAGTCATCTTGAACAGAAGTTGCAGTGGATTCCTCCTGTGAGGTCAGTAATACTGCCTGATGATACCAGACGCTTGAGGAAAGTCGTCTCGGTCTGCACGTCATGCATGGCTTCCTTTAGCATGGATGTCATGAGTCTGTGGTCATAGTAATGGAGAGGAGCATCTTTCTGGCTGAGGTTATAGCCAAAGCCTGCTAAGCTCACCTCATCACACAGGTATGTTGCCAGATTGAGTGCAGACACTCCTAAAGTAGGGACATTCTGGAGAGGAAGCACAACATTTTGAGAATAGATTTTAAACACACACACACAATATCTCGTATGCTATGACAGAAAAATACTGAGATGAGATAAAAAAAAAAAAA